GTATGTATGTATGTCTGTATGTACGTCTGTATGCATGAGTGCTGAGTGGATGCATGGATGGATGGACGGACGGACGGATAGATAGAGCCCTCTCCTTGTCCGCCAATGCTAGCGGCCCGGTGGAGAGCGTCGCGATGAGCGCGTTCAGCTCACAGTTCGACCCCGGGTTGTCCTGCGGACCCCAGGGAAGACCTGATCAGGGGGTCTAGCTTGGTTTACGGTTTAGGGTTTAGGGTTTAAGGGGGTTTAGGGGGGTTTAGGGGGGGTGTAGGGGGGTTTAGGGGGGTTTAGGGGGGATTAGGGTTTGGCTGAAGGGGGTGCCTTTTTGCGAGGGCTGCTTTGTTGCCTTTTCTGTTTGGACGCTTCTGTAGCGCTTGGTGGGTTTGTAACAAACTGACGGACAAGGCAGCGTGAAGAAGATAGTCGAACCACAACAACTACTTTTTCTGCATTGGTGTCAGTGTTAATACCGGTGGTGGTCCACGCCAGTATGATTTGCAGATTCATTTGGGAGCTAGGATTAGGGGGACCCTTGGGCATATAGACCCTCTCAATAAGGTCCCTTTTAAGAGAGCCAAAAGTAGGGTTCAGAAGGGGTACCCTTTAAGGGGTACCCCTAATAATACTACCTATCATTCTACCAACCTTTCAAGAACGACTTGGAGCTGTTCTGGAGGGAACACCTTCTGGAAGCCCTAAAACCCTGAACTCCTAAACCTCTAAAAGCCGCCAGGAGAAGCTCGTGGCGGCCTGTTTCTCGCGAGCTTCTGGGGCGCTGGGACCAAAAGCTGTCCTTGGGACGGTTTAGGGTTTAGGGTTTAGCCTTTCAACCGTAGTATAAGGGCATCAACCCTAAACCCTAAACCCTAGCATAAGGGCATTAACTGCTAGAGCCGGATTTGCGTGCATATGCATGGTATAAGTATACAGGGACTACAAAGGAACAAATGCTAAAAATCGCCTCGGCTTCTAGATTACTCGAAGGATCATGGGACTTAGGAATTGGGCTAAAGGTGGGGTCAAGTCTTGAAAGTACTGAACTTATGCAACTGCTGCAAGGAGTTTTGAGAAGTTAGGGTTTAGGGTTTAGGCGTTTAAAGGTTTAGGGGCTTAGGGGTTTAGGGTTAGGGGTTTAGGGGTTTAGGGGTTTAGGGGTTCAGGGGCTTAGGGTTTACAACCTAAGTGTCTTTCGAGGGCCGCAGATCCAGAGCAAAGGCCAGCAGCGAGCTTCCACCGATGTCGAAGTTGCCCTGCTCGGTTTGGGCTTTGGGACTTCGGTCTTCAGGGCTTAACGCTTAGGGCTTAGTGTTTGGGGTTTAAGGTTTAGGGCTTAGGGTTTAGTGTCTAGGGTTTAAAGCTTAGGGCTTAGTGTTTGGGGTTTAAGGTTTAGGCCCCTTAGGGTTTAGTGTCTAGGGTTTAAGGTTTAGGGTTTAGGGTTTAGGGTTTAAGGGTTTAAGGGTTTAGGGTTTAAGGTTTAGGGTTTAAGGTTGCGGGTTGAAGGCTTTAAGGTTTAGGGTTTTAGGGTTTAGGGTGCAGGGTTTAGCGTTAAGGTTTCGAGACCCCTACGCGTGTAGGGATTTCAGGCAACTGTCGGGATTCCAAGGCATAACCAACCGGTGGCACTGACACAGTGCATCAAAGCTCTAAGAAAATGGCACTGACTCCGTTGTGCGCCAGGAATGTCCTAAGACTGTCCTAGGACACTAAAGAAAGCTTTGGCAAAACCAAGCAAGGCACGCACAACTTCGACTACAATCAAAGCCACGAGGCAGCAATTCCTGGACTTACTGCCATGTGTGTCTTGCTGTGGCGGGCGCTAGTGCAGCACCGCGCGTACTGTTGCAACTGAAACACAAGTTATGCTGCACATCCCTGCTCTTTGCAGCCCGATCAACAGGATCATTGTGACAAGCGCAGTCCACTTCTCATCGTTTGTAGCTTAGGGTGTAGTGTAGGGGCCTAAATGATTTCCAATACTATTTTGGGTGTTCTTTCTTATAATTATAGCATAAAGTACCTTGAAACCCTATTCTAAATATTAAGGCCCCTACACTAAGGTTTAGGGTTCAGGATTTAGGGTTCAGGTTGTAAGGCTTACGGTCGAGGGATTGCGACTTGGGGTTTAGAGTTTAGAGTTTAAGGCCTGGGTTGAGGGGTCGAAGGTTTAGAGTTTCAGGCTTGGAAGTTTAGCGTTTGAGGTTTAGGGTTTGGGACTAAAGACTAAAGTGCTAAACAAGACCATACGGAGCAGTGATCTAGAAGCAAGCACAAGGACTTGCATCTGGATGACGCGCAACGCAACACGCCACAACCAAATACAGAGCCCGGAACTCATCATAGATAGTGTTCCCTGGCGTTCCTGACCTACACAATAATAGGCCCCAAACCCCTAAACCCTAAACCCTAAGCCCCCTAAACCCGCCAATGCTTGTTCTAAACATCATAGCCGAAAAAAGTGGGCCCTGTTACCCCAGGCCTTGGAAGCGTAGTCTTCACTGGCCCGATAGTTCCTGAGGTGCAAACTTCAGATGCCCATGGTTTTAGGAACCCTAAAACCCTAAACCCTAAACCACCTAAACGCTTCGGGTTTCGAGTTTAGAGGTTAGGGTTTAGGGCCCTCGGTCTCGCGACAAAGCCCTCCAATTCGAAACTCCTCAACCCCACGAAAATATGAATTATATATATATATATATATGTATATGTAAATTATACATATATATATATAAGAGCCCTGTGAAACCATTAAACCGCATCAAACCTAAACCCCTCAGTGCTTTGACACCGGAGCCCCTAAACCCTAAACCCTAAACCCTAAACCCTAACCCTAAACCCTAAACCCTAAACCCAGCCCAAAGCTGCTGAGAGTCGTGGTGCTCCGGAACTCCAGGCTTGTAAGCCTCGGTTCTCCAGTAACCCCTTAATAATAAGGGTTTAGGGTTTAGGGTTTAGGGTTTAGGGTTTAGGAGGAGACCACAAACCAAAAAGGGCAAAAGGGTACTACTGGGGAACCTAGAAGCAGGTCGCTGGGCAGAGCCATGCACAGCTGGACTGGCAAACTTCGCTCCGCTGCAGCTGAGTCCATGGCCTGCAACCACAGCCTCAAAGGTTGGTTACAAATAGGGTTTGAGGTTTAGGGTTTAAGGTTTATGGTTTAGGGTTTAGGGCCTGCAACCAAAGCCTCAAAGGTTGGTTACACATAGGGTTTGAGGCAGCTTGATAAGCAGAACGTAGGGTCCGGGGTATTTTGTAGTATTTGTGGTTTTAGTCGGAGCCCCACGGAATAGTATTAGTACTTATTCAGGCTTATATGCTCGAGTCTAGGTTGCTTGCTGCTTCGGGTCTTTGGGTGTTCAAGGGTTTTGGGTTTTGGGTTCCAGAGTTTGCTTGTTTCGGGATTTGTTGTGGCGTTTACAGCTCAAAGTTTGGAGGTTCGAACATTCGCTATTCTGGGATGTTTCTATTGCAAAGTTACAAAAGCCCATATTCTGCCAGGGCACCTTGACGCCCCAAAGGTCTTCCGCAGATGTGGCACGGCCAGAAAGTTGAAATTGAGGAAGTCGTGTTCCTGGGATGGCCCCTTTGAGCTGCTAAGCAACACCCTTCCGAACTTTCCTAGACCCCACAGCCTAAACCGGAGTAATGTAGGGGCCTTAATAACTAGAATGGGGTTTGGGGTATATTATCCTATAACTATAACAAGGAGCCCCCAAAATAGTATAGGCAATTATTAAGGCACCTATGTTACATATGAACTGGATTGCAAAAACTTTCCTAGGCTCGAAGCTCCTCATGCCCTCGGCTTTACCGTAGTCGAAGAGCATCCCATAGAAGCTGGGTGCATCATCGGGATGCGGCAAGGCGAAGGCAGTGGAGCCGTGGGATCCGTTGATGAAGCGGAAGCGATCGGTATAAGCGTTCTCCCTGCAGAAGAAAGGAACATACCTGAAGTCAGAGTCTGGCAGGCCCGGATTCCCAGCCCCCCCAAGCTCCCCGTCCAGATGATGCTGGTGATGCTGAAAATCTGGCTGCCCACACAGGTGCCGATTACCACTACCATCGCCCAAAGGAGAGCCCATGCAGGTTCCAGACAGACATCAAAATCCACCACTGAAAACAGTCTCTGCCCGAAATTCCTGATTCCCCACCACTTTACAGGAGCTGAAGACTCTACGAAATCATGAGATTACCAAACCACGTGACACCCTTCTCAAAGAAGCACCTGCACAAGAACAGGCTGGACGCCTAAACCCGGCCAAAGCCTTGACAGCAGCCAAGGTGCAGCAGCCAGGGTTTGCCAAGTGCCTTCCCAAGGATGGTCGGTGATGGCAGAAGCAGTTGTAACTGTAGCCGTCGTAGGATTAGCAGTAGCAGTAGCAGTAGTAGTGGTGGTAGTAGTAGTAGTAGTAGTAGTAGTAGTAGTAATAGTGGTGGTAGTAGTAGGAGCAGTAGGAGTAAAGGTAGCAGTAGCAGCAGCGGCAGCAGCAGAAGTAGCAGTAGCAGGACTGGCAATCTGCTCACGACCGGGTTACGATGGTACAGCTATGATAACGGCAACGAAGGTGAGGATTATGAAGCTCAAGACGGTAACGATGATTTGTGTGTAGGCGCCTGCGTTCGCGCCTGTGACGCTACTGAAAGCTAAAACTGTGAAAAAGAAAGTGTTGGAAAACAGATGGAGAAAGCACTGCTCTCGGATTCCTACAATCAACGCTACTGCAAAGCGGCACGTTTATTCCAAGCCAAACCCGAGACGGAGTTTGTGAGCCAAGAATAGTAGCTAGGATACTTTAGACCTGCAGGGGAAAACGACGTGGACTACGGCTGCCTACGCCACATCTACATGCCACAAAATTGAGGACATTTCATAGCTGATCGTTTTCCCGGACAGAGCACGACAGCGTAAATGCCAAACCCGACACTCTAAACCTGAAACCCCAAACCCTAAACTCAATCCTAAACCAAACCCCAAACTCAATCCTAAACCAAACCCCTAACCCCTAACCCTGAGCCTTAAACCCCAAACCCTAAACCCCAAACCCCAAACCCTAAACTGAACCCTAAACCCTAAACCCTAAACCCTAAACCCTAAACCCTAAACCCTAAACCCATTAGGGCTCAGAGTCGGGCTTGCAGGTCCCTCTGGACTCGAAGCCGCCATGTAATATAGGGGCCTTCACAGTTAGAAGAGGGTTCCTTTCAAGGGTTCCTCAAAAGGGATACCATAAGGGCTATAAGGGTGGGTACATTATACTATAACCCTAAACCCTAAACCCCTAAACCCTAAACCCCTAATCCCCTAAACCCAAAACTCTTAAACCCCGAAGCCCTAAACCCTAAACCCCAACCCCTAAACCCTAAACGCCTAAACCTACAATAAGGAACCCCCCAAAATGTTATGAATTATTGAGGCTCCTACATTTCAGGTTGACCTCCTGAAGTCTGACGTCAAGGAACCCACTGCTCACCGAAAACAGGAATATAGGCTTAGGGCTTGCAGGGTTTAGGGCTTAGGGTTTCGGGTTTAGGGTTTAGGGTTTAGGGATGTTTAGGGCTTAGGGTTTAGGGCTTAGGGTTTAGGGTTTAGGGTTTAGGGTTTAGGGCTCAGGAGGAATATGCAACATGACAAAAGAAATGTCTGCTCTCAGAAAACCGAAACCCTGAGCCGTAAATAAGATCCCGAATCCTAAAGCTCAAACTCAATACCCGGTAAGTCGTTAACCACAAACCCGAAAGCTTCCGAACCTCAACGTCTGAACTATTGCAGGGTTTGTGCACGCAACCCCCAAAACCCGTAAAGTAACCACCCTAAACCCTGAACCCAGAGCCCAAAACCCCTGCACCCCAAACTTAACGCCCCAAACCTTCAGAACAGCTCCTGTCCTGGATCTACAACCCCCAAAATCCCAAGTCTTAAACCCTAATGCCTTAAACCCCTCTACGCTAAACCTCCTGGACCCTGAATACTCTAAACCTCCCCAATACCCATCCTCCAAGGAACCCTTAAAGGAACTCTTAAAGAAACCCTTAAAGGAACCCCTTCAAGGAATCCTGGAAGCACCTTGTGGAGGTCCCCGAGGCTATGGCGAAAGCCACTGTTGCCCAGGACCCAGTCCTTGACCTTTCGGGGCTTTCGGGACTTGAGGCTTTGGGCTCGGGTCTCGGGGTTTTGGGATTTGGGGTCGTTTAGGGTTTAGGGTTTAGGGGGTTGGGGGGTTTAGGGTCTAGGGTTTAGGGGGTTTGGGGCTGCTACTGTTGACGGTGGTTCGTTAGTTTGGGGCTTGAGGTAGGCCCTACGGTGGTGGGGCGGCGCCTATGCCCCTCGACTTCCATGGCGCAAGTCGACCCCAGGTCCACCACTGGGGCCCACCCAAACCTGCCCTGCCCTGCCCTGCCTCAAAGCCCTGTCCGCTTGACCCTTCCTGCCCTGCCCTGCCGGAATGAGTTTAGAGCTCAACCCTACAAGGAATAGGTTGGGGAGGTTTTGCTCATAAAGTTGTTCCTGAAAAATAGGGGTGCTATCTAGTGGATTTAGGGCTTGCTGAGTTCTTGACTGGGTTAATGGGGGGTTCGGGCCTTTTGGCTGGGCTCTGGCCTGGCTGGTCTCGGGGTGGGCTTGCTTGACATCGGGGGTGTCAGGTATAGGGTTCAAGGTCAAGGGCAAGGCATTCAGGACTCGCGGCTTACCAGGTACTAGGGCCTGCAGGGGAGCCGATTAGCTTCCTTAGGCTTCGGGCATCCATTCGTCGGCTTCCATCTCACAAACAAGCAAGTTTAGGGGTTTAGGGCCGCACCGTATAATATGGGGAATGTAAGGTTTAGGGGCTTAGAAGAGGCTCAATACAGCGAAGAATCCTCTGCCATGTAGTCAACCGAAGAAACGTTTCTGATTATCAAGTATCATGAGCTTTATACCAAGGACCTGGCGCAGTGCACATACACAGCCGCATGTCCAGGATACCACCAGTCATCCAGCTGCCATATATGGACGGCCTCTTTAGAAGAGGCTGTGCGAGGAAAAAGCTGGCGAGGGTTGCTTTGGCTACGGTTTAGTATTTAGGGTTTAGGGTTTAGAGAACAAGCGCGGCATATTTTGGACCTGTATAGTAAAGGTTGAGGGGCGGGCACGTACACACATAAAATTGAAAGCGAGCATTCCCCAGGTCCTAGACACACGCTGTGGCAATACGTGTCCCCAGACACAAGAAACACAGTCATCATCGTAGTCGTCCGCCTATGCACAACAAGCGTAAGAGTCGGTCACGAATAACACGGTGAATGATCCCCAAACCCTAAACCCTAAACCATAAACTCTAAACCACAAGAATGTGCTGTTAGGCGGATCAGGCCGGTGCTGACACTTATCCATGTGGGTAGTTCTCTAAATTAGGGTCCCTTCTTAGGTCCCCAATATAGTACGGCACCCTTGTAAAAAGGACCCTCAAAGGGACCCTAATTTAGAGAACTACCCCCATGTATTCTAGATGCTTAGAACGTTTTGCAGGAAGCCCCGAGTTCATAGAGACGGTAGTAATAATGACAGCAAAAATCATAAGGATAAACTCAGTGGGCACAACCCAAAGCAAAGAGCCACTAAGTTAGATCCTAAGCTCCAAACTTCCTCAACCCCAAACCCTGAGCCCCAAACCCAAAACCCTAAACCCAACACCCTAAACCCTAAACCCTAAACCATTGGGTTTAGGGTTTAGGGTTTAGGGTTTAGGGTAAACCCCAAGCCCTAAACCCTAAACCCTAAACCCTAAACCCTA